TGGGGAGCAAAAAAGAGAGAATGAGTGAGAGAGAAAGAGAAAATATGAATGCGAGTAGCAAAAGAATAAAATACAAAACAAACGGAGTTAATGGTTTTAACGAAAAGTGTATTATTTATTGACGTTTTTTGAAAGCAAATAGTGTTAAAAAATTTATACAAGCTTTTATAGTTTATGATTCAGAAAAACAAATGTAAAAGCGTAATAAAAATCAAAAGTTTCAAATTTTAATGTATCTGTACATAAATTTAATTTCACAACATTTGAAATTTTCCTAGTTTCATTTGTTGATTAGTATTTAGTATTTATTTCTCCTTTACATAAATACCAAATAATTTTCACAATTTTCGTTTACCCTTCATTCACAGAATACATTTCAATTTCCAATTTTTGTTCCCCCTTTTTTTTTAGAATTAAAATATTAATTATTATTTTGGTAATTTTTTCATTTTCAGAAAATTGGTGACATAAAAATATGAGTTCCCTAAAGCATAAAAGTTTGAAGAAATTGGATGGCGATGTAAACTTCAATCTGGATTCTTTGTGCTCCATTTTCAGAGTAAACTTAAATTTGAATTTCCTTGTAGATTTTTTGTTGAGTTTTCCCCACACATCTATCAATCAAAGTTCTATATGTTCAAAAAGTTTTTAAAACATTCTAAATTTTATATACGTGCGTTGTTACTATTCCAGGACAAATTAAAATTCACTCTTACAAAAATTGGCCTTAATTAAAAATTTTATTATTCACTTTTTTATTTATGTGAAAGAGATATAAAATATTTCTTAATAGTATTATGTTTTTTAAATTTTTAACTTTATTGGAAACGAAATTCTTCTTTTGAAAATTAAATTAAAAATGCCTTTTCTAAAATTCATCTTTGAAACATTTTTAAATGTAATTTTAGTTTCGATTGTTTGAATTGCTAAACAAATATTTCAAAAAATGACCCAATTGTCCTTTTACAGGTATTTTCTTTATAAATTTCTGTTCTTACACATATTTTTCTTACAAATTTTTTAACCTTTCTTTAAAATAGTTTTTACGCCTATTTTTTTGTCTGACTTTGCATTTACCAAAAATTTTAATAAAATTCTTTGCAAATTCAATTATTTTCATAAATGATAATAGGAATAATAATAATAATTAATTCGACTACAAAATTATTTAGAACCATTATTGAAAATGTTAACAAGAAATATTAAATAATGAGATGGAAATAGAAAGAAAATGAGGAACAGTAGTACAATTACTCATGAAATTAGACAAGCGTGGACAACAATAATTTGTAGCCTTCACTTCTTCTTTGTACATGGTGTTGATAGAAATTCGATGCACGTACGTTGGCAAGAATGAAATTTGTCACGGTGAAAAGTACCAAGCGAATTAAAGTGTGTGCTGGGAATGCTCTGGAGAAATTGAACAACCGAGTGGGTTAAGTTTCTAGATATTTGTTACATTTATTTCAACTAAATGAAACAGGAGAAAATTTCAAAAATACATACATACATACATAAAAAGTAAAACCTTTTAATTTTTGTATCAATATTCGCAAAAGTTACTTATTCGAATGTATTTATTTTTTATTTACATAACATATTTTTGTAGCATATTTTAAAATCTCGTTCCATATTTAAAAGAGAAATGCACGAGAGAAAATCTATCGCAGTAAAAATTTTCCCACCCTTCATTAATTATCAAAAATATATAAAAATAATTTTTTAATTCAACTCCAATAGGAATTCATTTGAAAAACTAAAAGTACAACAAAATTTTTTCTGACTATTATCCATTTTTACTACTAAATTACCTGAATAATTGACTTTTACTACTGAATTTCAAAATAAAAATTTTGAAAAGTATATTTCTGACGAAAACTAAATTTAAATACTATGTGATTATTTTTCTTCGACGCATAAAATAGTCATAATTCTTTAAAAAAAAATATAACAACGTGTAATTAGTAAGTGGAGTTACTCTGAAACTTATAAAAAATATTACTATGTCTGATAAGGCCTTGTAATTATATCAGTCAAGTTTAATAAATTCAAACCTTTCTTCAGTGGATGCGTATTTGATTGAAAGGTAATTAAAATAATAAAGTAGTTTTAGTGAAAAACAAATTTTCATTGGTTTTCTCTGCACTTGTGAGGTATAAAAGTTTTGAACTGCAACAAAATATTTTTTATTTTTAATAATTTCAGAAAAAGTTCTTCGAAAATTTTCAAATTCCTTTGTTTACAAATCAATTTTACACAAAATTTCGATTACTTGGAAATTCTTCAATTAAGTAATATATATTATAGAGAATAAAACCTTGAAACTATTATTTACTTCAAAAAAATTCAAGTAAAATTTTTCAAAAATAATAATTCTACAGAATTATTATAGTTGAAAGTATTAAAACTTCAGATTTTCAAAGACTTTAATTTGAAAGCTTTTCAAAATTCAATCCTAACCTGAGATTATTCATTTTTAAATCAACTTTTATTACAAAATTCCACGAGAATTCAATTATTTAAATACAAATGAAATGTAAATAAATAATTTATTGAATAATTAAATGTTTTTTAAAATTCAATTCTCATAAAGAATTTTATCAACATATTTTTAAATCATTGAATTCTTTTGATGAATTTTAAGAAAATTTTTAAGAATAATTACATTTTTCGAGTGATTTGATTAAAATTGTATTAAAAATAATTGAATTTCTGCAATGAGTTTTATTATTTATGAAAATAATTGAATTATTGCGAAAAATTTTATTAAAATGTTTAAATAGAATTGAGTTTCTGTGAAAAATTTTAATATTTTTGTGAAAATAATTGAATTCTTCATAAGAATTTTATAAACATTGTTTTAAAAAATTAATTTTTTCGAAATATAATAAATATTATGAAAATTTTATTTGAAGTAATTGAATTCTTGTGGAAAACTTTATTTGTGAAAATAATATTGAATTTTTCGATTAATTAATTTAAAATAGTATTAAAAATAATTGAAGTTCTTCGATGACTATTATTAATTATGAAAATAATTGAATTTTCTTTTTCCCTCACTTTTCCCTGATTTCTAGACAAAATTTTCCCTTTTTCCCTGCTCTAAAGAATATTCTAATTTTACTCTAAAAATTATTAAATACTGAAAAAAATTTCTTTTACTTATTTACGAATTTCTTTAAATGTCAAACTATTCGAAAACATTAATAACTTCCTTTTTAAATAAACATTTAATCATTGTTATTTGTCCATAGGAATTAAAATTCTTCAAAAGATTCGAATTCAAACCTTTTTGAAATTCAACAGTTAACTTATAATTTAAAGGGCTACAAAACTTACTCCGCGAGGAAGTAAAATACTCATTAAAACTTCATTTTGTTTTGCATTGTTTCTATTTCCAAATAAAATTTATAAAATAGTAACAATTATCCATATTCATGCTGACTCAGCTTTTTTTAGTCAAACAGCCACCGTCACAGTTACATCCAATCGCATTACATGGTCCAACACCACAATAGTATCCTTCTCTTTTCTTACCATCTTTGCAAACTCTTACAGCACACCTGAGGCTTGTTTTATTATTAGGATCACAATCAGTTTCAATTATATCACCTCTGCCGCAACATTCAGCACGACTCTCATTAGGAAATAATAAAAATGTTACAGCAAATAACAGCAAGTAAATTTTCAACATTGTTGACATTTTATAACTATATTTTTTGCAGTGCTTCAATTTTCAAAATTTTTTGGGATTGTGTATTATACGCTTCTATACTCTTTGACACTACTGCGTATAATTTTGTTGCAGTTCAAAACTTTTATACCTCACAAGTGCTGAGAAAAACAATAAAAATTTGGTTTTCACTAAAACTACTTTATCATTTTAATTATTAATCAAATACGCGTCCACTGAAGAAAGGTTTGAATTTCTTACACTCGATTGATAATTACCAAATTATTTTCATTATTTCTATTTAATGTTCACGGTGCTTTAAACCGATTTAACTGAAAGGTTATGGCACCTGGAATTTTCTTCTTGATTTCGATTCTAGATCATAAGTACATCATTTTCCAACAAAAACGAAAATCTTCTGTGGAACCATTTTTAAGAAAAGGTAATTTGAAAATTCAAAATAACGAAAATTCAGCTTTTCTTGGAGAAATATACATTTGAGAAAGAATTTCATCAGAAAAAACTTGTAGATATTAATAAAAGCAATTTTTTTATGGTTACCAATTCATATTTTAAAAATGCAAAATGCCGGATCCAATATGGCAGACAAGTTTTTAAAATTTTTTGTATTTTTATTTTACTTGGTATCTGAGGGTTTTATGAGTCGCTGATTACAAATCAGAAGTCAGCATTTAAGAATTCAAAATGGTAAATTCAATATGCATGACGAACAAATTTTTGAAAAATTTCTCTACCTTATTGGATCCACTATTTTGCATTTTTTAAATCTGACAGCAGATTCGTAATCAGCGATAACCATAAAAAAATTGCTTTTTTCAATATATACAAGTTTTTTCTGATGATATTCTTTCTGAAATGTATAGACTGTGTGAAAATAAAATATTAACTAACCTTGCTTGGAAATTAATTATTTACAGAAATCTCGTTAGTCGTTAAAAGTGTATACTTAATTATTTTCTAAAGTGTAATTATAAGGGATAAATATGATTTTAGATAATAGAACTCCCGAGAGCGATAAAATCGCTAACATAAGCTTTTTAGCGGTAAAAGACACGATGAAGACTGGAGAATTCGCTCATTTTTTATAGCCGCTTTTACAACCCTCTGAAACCACAATAGAGGTAAATATTATAGTGATTGTATTCTAAAGGAAAAGAGTCTTCAACGTTCATAAAAAAAATCCATGTATATATATGTATATATGAAGCGAAAAAAAAGCAGAATAAAAACAGGAAGAAAATATTTTATGCTTGATTTAAGCTGTAAGACGCCGAACCCAGAAGCCCCTCAGTGCAGCAAGTTGCACCTAAACTGGGATAAGCACTTCTTGACCTCTCAAGGCTTGCATTCTGTGATCACTTGTGGGGAGGAAAGTGCCACTTAACGTTTCCTCACCAGGACCGTTTCGTTGATCGTCCATCCTATAGAAATTGCACTTGTGGTTATAAGCGTCAGATTAATCAAACAGTTCATTATATATAACAGGTAATATAGAACCCTTCCGAGAAAATAATTTCAACATGATAGGCAATTAAAGATTACAAGAGGGAACTTTCTTCAATAAGTGTCGATCTAGAACAATTTTTATTGTTACTGCTGGTATGAAATTAGTTTCATTTCTACAAAAGGTTTTCTTAACGCAAAAATAATTTATCTAACTTCAATAAAAGTATACTTCACTGAGAAAAATTTATACTTAAAAGAAATTTTACAAAAACAAATTTTAGATGATTTTGTTTAATTAAAGTCAGTTTGTAAGCTCAATCCATTTTATATTTCATTCAATCTTAAAAGTTTTCATAAATAATTTAACATCAATCATAACTTACGTTTGAATTAAAAATATTATTTCCTTAAATAAACCAAAAAATATTTTTTAATTAAACTTAAATATGTTTGACTGTATAGCTCGCTGTATAGCAAAGGTATTTTAAGTTTGATTTAAAGAAAATTTGTTTGAATCGCGGCCAACTAGATTATTTACTTATTTTAAATAAGTTATTTATCCGACATATTTTATTCACATATTGTTCCAAATTTAAATTTCATGCAGCGTGCAATTTAATTAAATATTTATCAGCTTATACGTGTTTGGGAAAATTTACAATTTCTTAATACGAATTTAATCGTAAATGTAATTAACAATATTAAGTACTAACGTTAAATAGTTTCCAAGAAAAAAAATTTGCTATAGGTCCACAAAACTGAAGGCATGTAATAATTAATCTTTTATGTAATTAACCTGATTTCATAAATCTGGGAATTATTAAGTACTAATTTAATTAGTAACACTACTGACTAAATATTCATAATTTATATCATAACGGTTTAAAAAAATAATTTACATTCTCAAATTTCAAACAATAAGCAATTAAAACGAGCGTAAAGTTTCAACAATTCAACCACATGACAGGTTGTATTGTATTATTAAATATTTTGCAAATTTCCATCGAATATTCATTAAGGTTAATTGGCAAGTTTACTGTTAACCCTACGTTCAATTTTTAACATTGAATTTCAAATTACAAAACCGTTCCATATGTAAAACGTAAAACGATTTGATTTTTTACAGGAAATTGTGTTTAATTAATTATGTGATTTATATTCCTTTTGATGAAAGCAAATAAAACAATAAATTTCTGCTCGAGTCTATTGCTTCAGTGTTCGAATTTTATTATTGCTTTTGTGAAATATTGTCCAACTGTTGACTTTTGAACCCCTCTTTGGTATTTTCACCTTTCTCCTTTATCTGGATTATAAGTCTGGAGGCGTGGAACTCTCAAATAGTGTTCCTGGTCGGATGAACTGGAATGTGTTATAATCGCAGAAGAACTTGCTATCAAATGCTTTTAAAAAGGATTAATTTTCAGAATACAGTCACGAAGAGTGAAAATTATGAATTCACTTTCTCGATTCAGAACGAATAATAAAAATGTGTTTGAGAATTTTTTTTCTTTAGTAGCTGAACATTTAGTCTAGCTATTGATTTTTTTCGAAAATGCACTAGCGATGGTAACAATACCACCAAAAGTAGATAATTCTTATTTGAAAATTTTCTGCTTGCATATTCATTAGAAAAAGTGTGCTTCATACAGGCAAATGTTTTCCAAACACTTGTCACGTAAATAGAAGCAGTAAAAGATGGTTTGTGTCAGACAATCCTTATTTAACAATTTTATTTTAAAAAATAGGAAAAGTAAGAATCAGGCAATATTTCTCTGAACTTGTTTCATACCGGAATCTAGTAGGTAAAGTTCGTTTCATTCAGACAGTAAAAAAATTATTTTTATCGAACATGTGATAAGAATTATACAACTAAACAAATGGCTGAAAAAATAAGTAGTAAAACGTTGTTTTAGTCAGAAATCCGTTTTTAAACAATTTTTATATGAAAAATAGTTATTAAATTCTAAATAAGTCTAGATAACGCGTTATCTGAATAATCTTATTGTAAGAATCAGTAGTTTAAGGGAGTTTCATTCAGACAATCAGTATCTAAACAATTTTTTTAAATCAGTGGTAAAAGTGGTAATTAGTGAGACAATCTTTATCTAAACTCATTTTTTTTAGAAACATAGTAGATAAAATCAGTAATAAAAGTTATAATTAGTCAGACAATATTTATCTGAACTTGTTTCATATTAAAATCTAGTGGGTAAAGTACGTTCCATTCGAACAAAAGATTTCTAAACACTTTTTCTGTAAAAACAATTAGAAAATGTTATGGCTACAGTCAAACATTCAGTGCTTAACAGCTTTATTTTGAACATAAGTAGTTAAAGTTGGTATTAGTCAGACAGACTTTGTATTACATGTATTTTTAATTGGAAATTTAGTTGATAAAGTATTATTCATGCAAACAACAGTTTCCTAAATACTTGCCAGAGTAAGGTAAGTAGTAGAAGTTATTTTTAGTCAGACAATAATTTCTAAACAATTTCACTGTCAAAATTAATTGTAAAATTGGAAATTAATGTGACAAGTTTTCTCTGGACAATTTTATTGTGACAATCAGTAGTAAAAGTATTGGGATTAGTCAGTCAATTCAGTAGTAAAAAGGAATAATAGTCAGACAATACTCATCTTAACTTATTTTAATTTAATTTAAGTAAGATTTAGACAGACAAATCTTATTTGAACAACTTTATTTTATAAATCAGTAGAACAAGTGGCATTTAGTCAGACAATCTTTATCTTAATTAATTTTATTCGGAAATATAGCAGATAATTTAAATTGCATTTAGACATAATTTTGCTAAATACTATTCTTTTTAAAACAACACAATTTTCTAGAAAGTATCAAATTGATACTATTAAAGTTGATCATATTGATGCCAAAAATTCGGATCAATTTTTTATTTGATCCCCATTCTTGGTATCAATTCGTTGCAATTTGATACTTTTAAGTTAACAATGAAGTAGATAAAATTAATTTTAGTCAGACATCCATTTCTTAACGACTCTATTTCGAATATCAGTAGTAAAAGTGGTCTTTAGTCAGACAATTTTTATCTAATTTGTGTTTTTATTTGGTAATTTAGTAGGTACATTATTTTTTATTCAGACATTTTTTTAAATACTTGTCCTATAAAGGTAAGTAGTTAATTTTTGTTAATCGATTTCTAAAAAAATTTATTTTGGAAATTACTAAAAAAGTGTGCGCAAAAATCAATAAAATTGAAAATTAGTCTAATAATCGTCATCTGATTAATTTTATTATCAGCATTAGTAGTTAAAGTGGATAATAGTCAGACAATACTTATCTGAACTTTATTTAATTGAAAATTTAATGGTAAAAGTATGTTTCACGTGTTTTATAAGGATAAGTAGTTATAAAACGAAATTAAAGTCAGTTTTAGTAAGATATCCATTTTTAAACAATATTACTGTAAAAATTAATAGTAAAAGTGGAAATAAGTATGACAGTTCTCATCTTAACAGTTTTATCCTTCAAATCAGTAGTAATAGTCGAAATTAGTCAGACAATTCTTATCTAAACTCTTTTTTTTTTGAGAATTTATTAGGTGAACTATGTTTTACTCAGACAAAAGTGCTGGAAAAACACTTGACATATGAATGAAGTAGTTAAAATTAGTTTTAGTCAGACAATTAGTTTATCTTAATTTTTTTAATTTAGAAAACCAGTAGGTTTCACTCTCGAGTGTAAAAATTTTTTCTTAACCAAAATAAACAAAAGAAAATCTTCTACAATAATAAAAATCTATCTCTAGTTTTTCTGTGAAAAATTTCTTATAAATTATATGGAAATAAATATAATAATAGAATATTTCACGTTTTAAAATAGATATAAGAAATGGATGTTACTTTGTCTCGGAAATTGAGTTTTACATTATTATACATGTGTGCACATTCGCGTATTACACACTGGATACGAGTTGTATTATACGTTGAAAAGTGACAAGAGCATGACAATGAAATGGTTTAAACGTGAAGGGGCAGAAAGCTTTTTTCCTCTTTTCATGTGCAGCAAATGTCAAGAAACAAATTCTCTAAGAAGTATATACGAAACATAAAAAGAGCGCGCGCAGATAAAAATGTGTGTGTGTGTGTGTAAGAAAATGAAGAAAAACACGGGGGAAAAAAATGTAACTTTGTGTCATGATAATTAACAGTTGTCTAATTAGACAAAAGTGTCGAGCTCACTTATACACAACAAGGACACTCTTTAACTAAAAACATTTTTAAATTCAACTATTTGTCAAGTTACAGTGGTTTAACGCATGACATTTTATTTTGCATTTGAATTTCAAAACATTAAAAATACAAATACTTTTTTTAATTTTTATAAAATAGAATTTAAATATAAGAGTAAAATTTATTTAAATGGAAACTTTTTATTTATTGAATTGAATCTATTTAATGAGACTCCAACTATTAAATAAAGTTGGTATAAAGTTCGCAAAATCCTATTGAAAGGAGAAAAATATTTTTCATTGAAATGTTTCGTATACAAAATTTTTCTTTTTCAAATTTTTGATAAAGAAAGTATGACAAACATTTTTTATGTACAAAAATAAAATAAAAATTTTAATAGAAAAATATTTGTTGATTATATAAACGTTATTGGATGGAGTAATAGAAAAAAGTTCAAAACACCAATCGAGCGAAACTCGATCGATGAATAACGAATGTTTTTATTTATTCAAACAAAAGGACAAATTAGTTTTACACACGTTTCCCTTAACTTTTCAATTTAAAGAATTCTTGCTACTTGAGCGCAGGAACTCTTGACCTTGTTCTTTGATCAAGTTTCTAGTGTAAACTTCACAGTTACCTATTTATTTCTTCCCAGATATAAGTATATGCCTATATGTATACATATTTCTCTCTCTCTCTCTCTCTTACTCTGAGAGAGAAACAGAAGCTTTCTACTTGTGTATTTAACCAACAGGTTCACAGTTTCTGAACACGGTTTTCCTTAATTATCAGACTTCCGTTTCAACTGTAATACGATGAATAATTTAATGAAAATATTATACGTTTAAAAGATATTTTCTTAATCTCCACATCGTGCATACAATATGTCTTTACATAATTATCTCGTATAAGTATATCTTCTTTAGTCTCTAATAAAAAAAATATTTTTCTCAAAACAAAAAAAATTTTTTATAGAATTTATTCTCTAAAGATATTTTTTTCAAAGGGAATGAAGAATTTGTTTTTATCTTTATTCATTAATTAATTGTATATATGTATAGTAATACGCCAATTTATTCATTCAGTCCAAGCAAATGTATAAAACAAACTGAACCAAATATTACGAGAGTTTGCGGGTTGGTCTCTTTGAAACTGAACAAAGTAGTTAATTGCATGGCTAAACAAAGGCTTTAGGAAGTTCATTTATTCATTATGTATATGAGTTTATAACTGAATTTGTAATTTTACATATACTGTTTATTTTTAATATTCCTATAAGAAATTACATTTTTTTGTAACTTGAAACAATTTTCGGGAATTGCTACGATCATGAGATAAGATAAATAGCAAAATTAATAATTTTGTTTGGCCTAATGGCCTAATGGACATTAGGCCTAACAAAATTATTAATTTACAATTCATTATTATCTGAACAGAAAATTTTTCTATTATCCAATTTCCAATTTCTATTATCCAATTATTTACAATTATTATAACAATAATAACGCTAGTATGAAGGCAAAAGACGAGTGTATAAATAAAAAATTTTTAAAAAAAATAATAATAATACACTGAGAAAACATTATATTTAAATGAAATACAAAAATAATTTTAGATGATTTTGTTTAATTGAAATTAGTTCGTTTAATCCCAATATTTAGAAAATGTCTCCTGCTTTGATTCAAAAATATTATTTGTTTCATTAATTATGTTTAATTCAAACATATTTTCTGTTTTGGTTTCAAAAAGAAATATGTTTAAAAATTTTATGTTTCATTCGAACTTAAAAGTTCATTATAAATAATTTTAACATCAATCATAACGTATGTTTCAAATAAAAACATTATTTCTTTAAATGAACTAAAAATTATGTTTCAATTAAACATAAATATGTTTCACTGCAGAGTTAAATTTACTTTTAGTTTAGGTCAAAATAACTGAAATTTGTTATAAGTAACTCAATAATTAGTTATTTTCAACTAATTCAGATTTAGAGAGAAATATTAATAGCAATAGTAATAAGATAAAAGTTATGATAATAATAACAGCAATTATAATAATAATAATAATAATAGTAATAATAATATTAATAGTGATGATAATAATAATAATAACACCGGTTAGTGATACATTCAATTAATATTAATCGCTATTAACTTAAAAGTATCAAATTGCAACGAATTATTAATTGGATCAGATCAAAAATTGATACAAATTTTTTAAATCAATTTGATCCACTTTGCTGTCAATTTGATACTTTACAGAATACTATAAATACTAATAATAACAATAGAAACAATAATAAACAATAGTAACAATAATAACAATAATAATGAAAAATATAGTAATAGAAAAATAATAAAAGAGTTTCCAATTTTTTTAAAATCGTACTCACCACTTTTTCATCAGAGTAAAATATCCTTTGAAAAAATATTTATTTTGCAGCAAATCACAAAATTCACCATGCGGTTTTTAATAAAAAAAAAAGCCACTCTAAATTAAAACTAAAATAAAATAATTTCCTGGATTTTATAGTACTTGGATTTTATAGTCTCTTCCATTATTTCATTATAATCACGTGGTTATAATATGCATCAGAACCTTTAAAATAATTCTATATACTATTACCACCGTTTAAAAACGTAAATTGTCAAAACAAAATTTCACATTTTTCTTGAATTTAAATAACATTCAAAATTTTGTAAATTAATAAAAAAATTTTTAATTATTTAAAACTTTTTTTTGAATTTTTTTTTTCCTTTTCTTTCAAGAAAAAAAAGAAGTTGCGCGGCGAAAATGAAACACAGAAACCGAACACTCCTTAGACACGACGACACGCTGCTTATGGACCATAGACTAGCAGGGAGGCTGCAGTACTGAGATGCGATCACAGCGCTGCAAAATGTATACGCGCGCGCACATTTTCAACCCCCAGATAGAACCCCTGGCCATCATCCACTAACAGTTTTTGTTTCCCTTTACGCAATATTGTTCTATATAGTGCGTGAAATAAGTGTCCTTGATTTCTTTCTTCCTCCATTAAAAGTTCAAATAATACAAGTTGTTTCACTTCTTTTAAGTTATTAGGAGTCTTAGTGAAATGGAAAATTGGAAAATTGATTCGTTTTGCTATTAGAAAATGAATTTTCGTTTCAATAGGGTTATTTGGGGTAAAAATGTAAACTTATATTTTTCACCAAACATGTAAATTTTTTACTTTAAACGGTAAAAATAAGGGAACTTGTTACTTTACTTCGCTAGAAAAATTTTATGGGGTAGAAGAAAATATTGATAAGCTTAAAATACGTATAAGACTGACTTTTTTTACGTTTAGACCGAAATTTTGAAATTTGACATAAATTCCTCATAGGTCAACAATTTTATTTTGAAAATGAGTAGTAAAAGTGGAAATTAATCAGACAAATCTTATTTGATCTCATGTTACTTGAGGATAGTTTCCTGAAAGTAGGTAAAGTAGGTTTTTCTCAGACATCCACTTCTCAGCATTTTTATTTTTAAATTCAGTAGTAAAAGTAGAATTAGACAATCCTTATCCGAATTCTTTTTATTTGGAAAACAAGTAGGTAAATTACGTTTCAGTCAGACTAAACATTTCTAAACCCTTGTCCTAGAAAGTTGAGTAGTCGACATTATTTTTAGTCAGACATCCATTTAGGAACAATTTCATCCTGAAAATCAGTAGTAAAAGTTGTAAATTAGTAGGAAAAAAATTAAAAAAGAAATCTTGAATATATATGAAAAGAAGTTTTTTTACAAACTTGTTTCCGTTATTATATGTTGAAAAATTATCGAGTAGAAGAAAATTCGAAATACAATAAATAATAAATATTTGGGAATTACACTTAAACCGGTTTCACGCATTTTGATAAACAAAATATCGTTCAAGTTAGAGTATGATTCAATTTTATTTATAGTGTAACCTTCTTAAAGTTGTTATTGGACTTGGTCTCTCTAAAGTCAAGAAACTTTGATAAGTAGATTAGGTAGAGTAAAATCTAATAAGGAATCCTTAAAGTGCTGTTCATCCGGGAAGATATTTCTGGAATCAAGCCAAAAACCAATTACGATTTGTCTCATTCATCTCACTGGTCTCCAAGATTCAATGAAGCAATTCAGTGTCCAGCAATCATGTTATTATCCGTAAATATTGAATACATATTCTAGTTGCACTCAGTGCACAATATCAAACTTATTAAAATGAATCAAAAAGTTTAAAAACTAAAATTTACATTTCTACTTTGAAGATTTTCTTTTGTTTTTCGGTTGGGTAAATTTTAACACTTGAGAGGAAGCAAGGAACAAGCAAAAAAATATATAACAGAAAAAGATCAGATAACGACGGTCTGACTATTTTCACGTTAACTATACTGATTGTGAAAATAAAACTGTTCATAAATGAATGTCTGACTAAAGGTATTGTTAACTACTCAATTTTCTAGGACAAGTGTTTAGAAAGTTTTTGTCTGACTTGAAAGTATTTTACCTACTTGTTTTCCAAATATAAAAGGAAATTTTGATAAGGATTGTCTGACTAATTCCACTTTTACTACTGATAAAAAATTTTTACAAAATAAAAATGCTGAGAAATGAATGTCTGACAAAACCTGAATTTAACCACGTTTTTCATAAGACAATTGTTTCGCGAACACATTTCTCTTAATAAAACTTACTTTACCTCCTGGACTCTCAAGTAACATAAGATCAGATAAGAATTATCTGACTAATTTCCACTTTTACTACTCATTTTTAAAAGAAAATTTATAAGCTGTAAAGATTGTCTGACCAAACACCAGGTTTGACTACTTATCTTCGTAACAAATGAGAAACTTAAAAAACTTTTGTCTGAATAAAACTTACTATACCTACTAGTTTTCTTAGTATAAAAAATTCAGCTAAACTTATTGTCTGACTAAAACTAATTTTAACTACTGACTTTTTAAAATAAAATCGTTAAGAAATGTCTGAGTAAAACTAATTTTATTCACTTGTTTTAAATCGAAAAGAGTTAAGCAAAATTCTGAAATTCTGAATTAGAATATTGAAATTTAGTCTGGCAAACCTTATTTGAACAACTTTATATTGAAAATCAGTAGTAAAAGTGGTAATTAGTCAGACAGTCTTTACCTAAATTCTACTTCTTCGAAATAACATTATTTATTATTTAATAATCATTAATAATTTATCAACAAGATTATTTATAATAATTATTTACTATAATTATAATGTCCGAATAAGACAAATTTAGATAAAGACTGTCTGACTATTGCCCTTTTTACTACTGATTTCAAAAATAAAGTTGTTTAAATAAGATTTGTCTGACTAAATTTCACTTAAATTAACTCAAAATAAGTTCAGACGAGTATTGTCTGACTATTATGAATTTTTACTACTGGATATCCAGTAGTAATTGCCTAACAAATTTCGACATTAACTACTGAATTGTCACAATAAAATTGTCCAGATAAAACGTGTTAGACTAATTTACAATTTTTCAATTACCACTTTTACTACTGATTTTTTAAAAATTGTTGAGATATAGATTGTCTGACTAATACATACTTGAACTACTTATATTCATAAAGCATCTGTTTCGAACACTAGTCTGAATGAAACAAACTTTTATTAATTAAAAAAAGTTCAGATAAATATTGTCTGACTATTGTCCACTTTTACTACTGAATATAAAAAAAATAATCAGATGACGATTATTAGACTATTTTTTGTTTTTACTGATTTTTATTTTTTACTCACTTTTTATACCAATTTCGAAAATAAAATTGTTTAGAAATAGTTGTCCGACTATAACAGAAAGTAACTACTTACTTAAAAAAGACAAGTATTTAGAAAAAATTTTGTTCAAATAAAATGTATGTTAGCTATTAAATTTCAAAATAAAAATTGGTTATATAAATCATGTCTGATTATTGCTCAATTTTACTACTGATTTTTAAAATAAAAATGTTGAGATACAAATTCTGTGGCTATTTTCAACTTTTCCAACTGATTAATCAAATTTTCATTTCATTACTATTGATTTCTTAAATAAAATAAAACTTTAGTCCTTAACATCTTACCTTAACATTTACCAAATAAATTGAACTACATTACTTATTAAAGACAAGTGTTCAGAAAACTTTTGTCTGAATAAAACATACTTTACCTACCGCATCTTTAATTGAAAACAGTTTAAATAAAGATTATCAGACTATCACTTACTTATACTATATTAATTTTCAAAATAAAAAAAAGAAATTAAAATAAAGAATAAAATATTATCTATTCTAAAATGTATTTCTGACTAAAACTAAACTAAACTATACTTAAATTCATATAAAAAGTGTTTAGAAAAATTTACTCCGAATGAAATAAAAGTCTTGTCTGACTAATACCCACTTTTACCACTGATTATCAAAATACAATTGTTCAGAAATGAATTACTGAGTTATGTCAATTTCGAAAATAGTTTAGTAATTCTATGTCTGCCTGAAATTGATTTCAACCACTAATTTAAGGAGGAAAGAGTCATATCTAACTTTAAAGATTTTCTCACATTCAAAATCCAACAGATTTGGTATTTTTGAAGACTTACATTAAAGATATACTCCTAAAAATATGAATTCATCATAAATTAAACCTCCATAATGAAGTCAACATTTTTTAATTGACACTTTACCGTCGAATAATACATGAAATGTAATTTTAAACTGGATTTATAAAATGCTTGAGCAAAAGTTCAGTGAGACGGAAATATAATTATTTCTAAACTCGGTGAGTTTATTTAAAAAAAATTCTGGAAATACATAAATTTAAAATTAAAATAATAAATATTAAAAGCATTAAATTAACCTTATTTTTATTGTCATCTATCATTTTTATAAAAATATAATAAATTAAAATTTTAGAAAAAATTTAATTTTTAATATCAGTTTGAATTTTTAAATTTTCACCATTTTCACTTAATTTAATGATTAAATGAAAAATAAATTAATTGTTGAAATTAAAAATAATTATACAGTAAATACTCAGTATATTTATTCTTCTTTATACTTTTTTATATTCTTCTTTAACTTTTAATTACGTTCCAAAAATCGAAAAAATTAATTTATTAATTATACAATATTTATTATAAATGAAGAAAGAATGGCATATTTGATCTTCCATCAACGTAAATATGCGCGTCACATATTAAAAATACATTTACAAAATAAAACTTTATAAGCAGAGAAATAAGAGCTTTCGTTTGCATATAAATTAATCATTTGCAAAATAATCGATCATTAAATAATTATTACTCATTAAATGTAAAAACGTAGATGAACATATTTTGTTAGTCAATCAAATTCGAGATGAAAACGTTTTAAAGGACTTTTGTTTTTACTGTTCAAAGTTGATTAACTATATAGAAGAAACTGTTTATGGTCAGATTTATACTTTCTTTATTGCTTGTAGAATACGTTTGACGATAAGTTTTACAATTCTTTTATGGATATACCTACTTTCGAATAAACAAAACGTTTATCCGACTAGGTAATTTTTAAATCCCATACAAAAGACATTAAAGTAGAAGAAAAATTTAAAAGTTTAAACTTTAAAGAAAACTTTAAAATTCTCTTTTACAAAAATTAAAAAGAAAAATACTTTCTCCCCTGAAACAAAGAATTGTATTTCTTTGCTTTAAATAACCGATTACTTGTCTATTATCGCAAATAAATATTTACCTGATTTAAAAAATTGTTATTATAATAAAAAATATTTAGTTTACGTTAGAAAAAAGAATGACTTACAAAAGTGGACAAAAGCTCTTTTCTCCTCTTTATATAAATCAGGAAAAATTTGTTCCTGGTTTAAAGGTTTTACAAAAATGAAAGAAGCGGAACAAAAAAGTGTCTTTAAATAAGTGTATGGAATATATCTGGTGCACGGGCCTCTGTGTTTATTCCATTCAACTTTTTAAGAGAAAAAGAACTCATTTCTTTTGCTGAAAAAGCTTATTATTCTGAAATATTCGGCGCGAAAAATAAAGTGCGAATAAAAAAGTCGCATTGATTCAAAGGAAGATAAGAAAGAAAAATTCACATTTCTGTCGTTTTCTAGAGAGAGAAAGAGAGAGAATGAGAGAGAGAGAGAAACTGTAAACAGACGCATTTCATTAAGACTAACCTACTGCAGTAGCTTTCCTACACTTAACTCTTAGAGCAATATTATACCACTTCTCTATAATAAACAGGATTCACGATCCACGTGCTCAAAAAGGAGGAGAGGCTTAACCAGAACAGTTAGTTTAGTTTAGTTATTGTTGTCTGCACCATTTATACAACACTCGACTTCTTCCGTCAGCACGAAAAAGACTCACTTCCTGTTGAAAAAATAAATAATAATAAATATAATAATAAGTTATTACTCTGAAAAGAAATTGATTTGATTCAAATAACCGATTATTTGTCTATTATCAAATAAATATTTTACTTGAATCAAAAAATTGTTATTTAAATAAATTAAATCGCAAATTTTAATAAAATTTTCCAAAAGAATTCAATTATTTACAAAAAAAATTTAGTAAAATTCTACACAAACTTTTACTTATTTTCAAAACATAATAAAAATTTCACAGGAATTTCATTATTTACCATTTTTTTTTATAAATTTCTTCGCAATCATTTAATTATTTTCATAAATAATAAAATTATTTTTAGGAATTCAATTGTTTTTATAAATAATAAAACTTATCGTGGAATTTCAATTATATTTAATACAATTTTAATCGAATTCCTCGAAAATATTCCTAAAAATTTTATTAAAATTCGTCAAACGAATTCAGTTATTTAAAAATTTGTTAAAAACAAAATTCAATTCTGTTCAAAAATTTGAAAAACTTCTCGTCAAAATTTCAATTAACTTCATAAATATTAAAATTCTTCTCCAAAATTAAAGTATTTTCTAAAATTTAAATAAAATTCTTGGGAAAATTTCAATTATTTTCAAAAATTTTCCTCAATTCAATGATTATTATTATTATCTACTATTTAAATAAAAATTTTCAAAGAATTCAATTATTAAAAAGAAAATTTAATAAAATTCTATGCAAACATTTAATTATTTTCATAAATAATAACATTTTTCACAGGAATTCAATTATTTTCATAAAGAATAAAATTCTTTTTATGAATTGAATTATTTATATATAAATAATAAATTTCTTTTCCGAAATTCATTTTTATTTGAGAGTATTGTGTTTGATCAGTTTTATACTGCAGTTGAGAATATTATAATTGATGAGCAACATGGTTTCATGAGGGGCAGATCTACTGCAACTAATCTTTCTATTTTTACTAATTATCTTTCCTGTAAAATTGAATCGGGTTCTCAGATAGACACTGTTTACACGGACTTTTCAAAGGCATTCGATAAAGTAAACCATGACTTACTTCTAGCCAAGTTGAAACTTTGGGGTGTAGGATCGAATCTTGTTGATTGGTTTAAAAGTTATTTAAATGGTCGATCTCATGTTGTACGTGTTAATGGAGCATATTCATCTGAGTTTTTTGCTGATTCTGGTGTTCCACAGGGTTCAACACTTGGTCCATTATTATTTCTAGTTTTTATTAATGACATCAAATTTAAAATTAAGTTTTCCAATTTTTTATTGTTTGCAGATGACTTAAAGATTTATCGTATGGTTAATTGTCTTGATGATTATGTTAAATTACAAAGTGACCTTGATTCTCTCCTCAGCTGGTGCGAACTTAATGGAATGCCTTTGAATATAAATAAATGTTATTCTATTTCTTTTTCTAAAAAAATAAACAAGAAAATATACATTTATACAATTAATAATATTATACTATCTAGAGTGTATCAAGTGCGTGATCTTGGTGTTGTCTTATCTTATGATTTATCATTTGATGCACACATTTCCTATGTTGTTAGTAAATCACTGAGAATAATGGGTTTTGTTATGCGTAATTCCAAGGATTTCCATAAGTTGTCTACACTAAGAATACTCTATTTTTCCTTAATTCGGTCTGTTATTGAATATTGTTCGTTAATTTGGTTCCCATTTGCTAGTGTTCACGTTCTAAGACTTGAACGAGTTCAGAATCGTTTTCTGCGATTTTTAGCCAAACAAATTAATGTTCCTTTTGATTTTTATACACATGATTGTATTAGTTTAAGAACTCAGTTTAAAATTCCCAAGATTGAATCTAGATTTTTGTTTGTTGACCTACTTTTTCTTTTCAAGGTAATTAATGGTTTAATCATGTGTCCCTCAGTATTGTCACTAATCAATTTCTCTGCTCCTGTGCGTCGTTTGCGATATGTTACTCCTTTTTTCCAACCATTTCATAGAACGAATTATGGCAATAACTCTGTTTTTAGTAGACTTTGTTTTGAGGGTAACTTATACTCGGATGACTTGGATTTCTTTTATAATAATATTACATCTTTTGTGACTAAATTGCGTTTATTGCTTTTTACTGAGAATTTTTGATATGCATCTATGGCTCTGTAATTTTGGTTAAGTTACTTGTATTATTGAAGGGTCTTTATTGTTACCCGTATATGTCATAAATAAATAAATAAATAAATAAATTCACTTATTTTTAAAAAATTTTAATAAAATTCTTGGCAAAATTTCAATTATTTTCAAAAATTTTAGCAAATTTTCAATTCTCAAAAATTTTAATAAAATTCTCAGCAAAATTACAATTATTTTAAAAAATTTTAATAAAATTCTTGGCAAAAGTTCAAATATTTTCAAAAATTTATCTCAAGTTATTGGTTTTCAATATCTACTATTTTTATAAAATTTTCCAGAAGAATTCAATTATTTGAAAAAAAAAATGTTTTAATAAAATTCTACGCAAATATTCAATTATTTTCATAAATAATACAAATTTTACTGGAATTCGATTATTTACAAATTTTCAATAAATTTCTTCGCAATAAATCACTTATTTTCACAAAAATAATGGAATTATTTTTATAAATTTAATTATTTTCATAAATAATAAAACACATCGCAGAATTTCAATTATTTTTAATACAATTTTAATCAAATTCTTTGAAAAATGTAATAATTCTTAAAAAATTTATTAAAATTCGTTGAAAGAATTTAATTATTTAAAAATTTGTTGATAAAATTCTTTATGAGAATTCAATTTAAAGAAGAATTCAATTATTCAATAAATTATTTATTTTTATATTTGTATAATTGAATTCTAGTAGAATTTTGTAATGAAAATTGATTAAAAATTAATTTCACTTAAAATTTTAGATGAATTTAATTGAATTGAATATCAAAAGCAATATAGCTTGAATTTTTGAAAATAATTGAATTTTGAAATTAATTTTTTTGAAAAAGTTTAATTGAATTTTTGGAATATTATTTTAAGTTTTTATTTTCTAATATTTATTTAATTGAAGAATTTACTAATAATTGAAATTTCAAAAAATTGAATATTGTAAACAAAAACATGAAGAAATCGATAACTCCGAGTCGTAGACTCGGAGTTATTGATTTCTTCATGTTTTATATAGTTATGAAAAATTTATATTTTGAAGTAAAATGTTCCCTTATTTGAATGAAAATTATTTGATTCAAGTAAATATTTAATTGATAATAATAATCGATTATTTGATTAAAAAAAAAATTTCCAAATGTTATAATATTAATAATAGTAATTATTATTAACAGTAATAGTAATAAAAATAGAAATTGTAATAGAAATAGAAATATTAATATGAGACTAAAATTGAATTCAATTTTAAAAATACTTTATTGTTTCCTTCTTCTCATTCATTTCATTAGCAGTAACAAAATAATCAATATTCGATTTCTCATTAGGATTTAAATCTCCGTGAACATTGTCATATCGTTGTAATTTTCCATTGAGACTGACGTCTAGAACTTCCCAAGACGGAAGTTTATCAGTATCCCGATAATCTTTCTTATTTATTGAACATCTATTATCAATAGTGTTCCATTTCGGAGACTTTTCGCGACTTATCATCTCTCCCGATTTCTTTTTATCAAAGGATTTCGATACACTGACAATGTCTTGCAATGAAGATTTTCCTGTAAAAAGAAAATGAATTCTTAACTCAGTAAATGTTGATTTTACATTATTTTACCATTTTAATAAGTAGTAATTTTTTTAAATTAAATATTTAACATTTTTTTTCCTATTTAAATAATAGGAAAAAAATGTTCATTTTAAACATTCAAAATTTTAGTGTAATTAAATTCATATAAAAAATATGAAATACGTTCCTTTTAATTTTAATATGATTTAATTTATATAAAAAGTAAATTTTATGAGTTTTTGTTAAGGAAGGAAATTAATATTAAGAAAATTTATTTTTGTGAATTTAAAAATTTAATATTTAATTTCTTTGTCATAAGAAAAAACATTTATCATATTTACAGTTTCCTTTCGTTAAAGAAAAGAAAAGAAGCATAATTTTAATTGTAAAATTTCTTTTCGTTAATGGAGAAAAATTTAATATTTATACTTTTTTTGGTAAGAGAAAAAATAATAATGTTTACAATTTCGTTTTGTTTTAATAAAAAAGAAAAGAATAATTTTAGTTGTCAAAATGATAATCAGGAAGTAGAATGATAGTAATTGTATAAGTCACCTCTCACTGTATTCCACATTTTGCTCCTGCACTTGCACTGTTGAATTGAACGAACAGAAGATTTCCAAGATCCAATCGAAGATGAATCCCAAACTGGAAGCTGACTCCTTGTTCGCAAACCTCGTGTCAAGGTGTCATGCATTTCCAACATCTCTCGATGAAGTTGTCGCTGATGTTCAGCAATAATACATCGCTGACGTATCCTGGGCGAGTACTGACGAGGTGAATCACATATATTCGATTCCGATCTGCAAGCGAAAATGCCAAATTTCATTTTGTGTCTGGTAAAAGAGAGAATAACTTGAAACGAAATATCCTTTTTCAATTCTATTAAAAAAAATATGAAAAAATAAATCAAATAAAATACCAAGTAAATAAAATTGATTCGCTTAATTATAAAGTTTAGAAACAATCATTCTTGATTAATTTTTATTTCAATTTTAATTATTTAATTAATTTTAATAATTAATTTGAAAATCGAGAATAGTAGAGGAGGACCTTAATTAGCTCGAAAAATGTGAAAATAATTTATTTATACACACAAAAGATAGATTTTCGACAAGGGAAAATGTACTTTTCATCTTATATTCATCAAAGTCCTTAACGACAAACTAGGATTTCTGTTAATACCATGAACTATGCAAGAGATGATACTAAATCTGTCTAAATCTGTCGCAAGATTGTAATTGAAATCGAGCAAACCAATTTACTCCATATCTAAATGTCGTTATCGTATAATTTACCTTTTCGGCATCAAATTGTATACCATTAAGTGGTTTCGAAATGAATCGATTTTCATGAAATCTGATAAAAAAATTAATCAACTTTTCTCCATTTTTATATTATTTTAGTCTTATGGTTGCCTTTTTTATTAGACAAATTATATTTCTTTCATTGGCCCTTTCTTTAATTTCAAAAATAGTTTAATAAACTAATAAATAAATTAATTTAAATAATTACTTATAAGATTATATTCAATAGCAAATGTTACAAAAAATTACAAAATTTTTTATTTTCAAATAAAAATTTTTTAAATAATTTTATAATCAAAATTTTAAAAAATCACTTATTATAAGTACAAAATTAATTATTACTGTTCATATTTTCAAAAATTTTAATAACATTTCACGAAAGAATTCAATTATTTTCTAAAATTTTAATAAATCCTTCTAGACAATTCAATTATTTTTTTAAATAGTAAAATCTTTACAAAAATTCAATTATTTTCAAAACAATTTTTATTAAATTCCTCGGAAGAATTCAATTTTTAAAAAAAAATTTGACACATTTAGAAAAAATACAATTTTTTCTAAAATTTTAATAAATCCTTCAAAAAAATTCAATTATTTTTATAAATAGTAAAATGCATCGCAAGAATCCAATTAATTTTATAAATAGTCAAATTCTTTGCAGGAATTCAATTATTTTCAAAACAATTTTAATTGAATTCCTCGGATGAATTACAATACTTTTAAATATTTCCATAAATTTCAATTATTTCCTAAAATTTTAATAAATTCTTCGAAACAATTCAATTATTTTTATAAATACTAAAATTCTTTGCAGGAATTAAATAATTTTTAATCCAATTTAAATAAAATTATACGAAAGAAAAAAATTCAAAAATTTCCATAAAACTCAATTTTAAAAAGAATTTTAAATTCTCTAAAAATAATTCAATTATTCTCAAAATACTTTTAAAAAATTCTATATAAAAAATTAAATTACTTTCAATGCAATTTTTAAATAAATTCGTCAAAAAAATTGAAAGAATACAATTATTTTCCAAAAATAATAAAATTCTTTAAAGAAATTCAATTATTTTCGAAACAACTTTAATTGAATTTCTCGAAAAAATTTCATTATTTTCAAATATTTCTATAAAATTCTTCATAACAATTTTATTATTTCTTAAAATTTTAATAACTTCTTCGAAACATTTCAATTATTTTTATAAATATAGTAAAATTCTTTGCAATAATTCAATTATTTTTATAAATAGTAAAATTCTTCGTAATAATTCAATTATTTTCAATACAATTTTAATAAAATTATTCTTGATAAAATTCAATTGGTTTTAAAATTTTCAATTAAAATTATTAAAGAAACTCCATTAGTTTAAAAAAAATTCAAAGAAATTTTTCAAAAGAATTTAATTAAAAATTTTAATAAAATTCTTTGCGAGAATTCAGATATTTTCTGAAATAATAAAATTACTCGGAGGAATTCTATTATTATCAAAGCTTTTGATAAAATTCTTTGCAACAATTCGATGATTTTCAATACATTAATTTTAAAATTGAAAATATTTTAAAAGAGAAATTATAAAAAAGTTAAGAAACAAAAAAACAAACAACAACTAACTTTAAACTGCGAATAGATTACCGGAAAATTTACTTTATTATTATTAATAATTAATAATTAATAATTAACTACTTAAATTTATTTATTTATTTTTAAGTTTCAATTTGGCGAACAAGACTAGAAACGAGAAAAATTTGATGGCAAATGAAAGGTATCAACGATTTAAAAAAAAATTAGCCATAACGATCGATGCAGGTAATATTGTGTATATAATACCAGGAACAATCAACTTTATTCGTATTTCCTATATCGAAATTACGAAACACACACACTCTCTCTCTCTCTCTTCGGATTGAAGTTTGACAGCTCGTAAAACGAGATGAGTGGAGTTGATTTGTTCACAATGCAATAAATTGTTATTTCAATTCCTATCACATTTTAAAACTCGTTTATAAACATTTCTATTTCCATTTTATTTTTTAATTAAAAAAAAAAGAAATAGAGGAAAAATATAATGGCTGTAAATTTTATAATCAAGTTTATAAAAAGGAAAAAACCTTGGAGTGTAAGTTTCCTTCGGTACATTAGGAAATGTCTCTGGACAGCTAATTCTTCTTTTTCGAGATTCTTCTCTTGATACTTTCTGTATCATATCAAGCATTTTTGTTTTCTCCTTCTGTGGCAGGACTTGTGCAACTTCTTGTAGAATCTAAAAGCAAAAATCAGTAATTACAGTACTTGATAAAATTAATATTTAATATTTATCTATTTAAAAATAAATTCATTTTCAAATAATTAAATTTTCAGGACATTAAATTTTCAAAAAAAATTATGTTCAGAAAATATTAAATTTTCAAAAAAGGAAATTCGCAAAAAATTAAATTCCGGAAAAACTAAATTCGAAACAAATTTAGTTTTTTTAAAAAAAGTAAATTCGCAAGAAATTAAATTCGGAAAAAATTAAATTTTCAAACAAATTCGCAAAATTTGAAATTCACATTTTTTAGTTCACTCGCAGAGAAATACATTTATTGTTTGGTGGTTGTCAATATTTCCCAAAGTTTGCAGTACAGACGAATAAATTGGATAATAGATTATCTAGATGTATACATTCAGCTACATCTAGAGTGAGAAGATTCTCGAGATTTGCAATGGCTTCTAAGACGAGGATTTACTAGGATTTACCCTAGCTTGTTAACAAGTTCTACATTTTGTAAATTGAAACTTGTTTAGGCATGTACATACAAACGTGTAAACAAAAACATTAAAAATAAGCTTCTAAATTCAAAAATTTAATTGAAAATCCTGGTTTCTAGCAAAACTTATCAAACATGTTTAGCTCGTATATAATTATAATTAAATACCAACTATATTCAAATATTATAATTAAATAAATTATTAAAATTAAGTAAATAATTAAATAAAATAATCCAATTAAATTATAATTGACATTTCTATTTAATACGAAAACTAAAAGTTGAAAAAACTAATAAAACAAATAAATACTTCCTTTCCCAGGGAAATTTAATAAATAAAATTAAAATTATCCAGAAAGCTTACCCGAAACTTTTTCAAAGTGACCAGAGCTGAAATTAATCCTCCTGGACCTCTTTGACGACCACGTCGGCGATTAATCGAAACGATATAGGTCAAAGGACTAAAATTCCTCAATTCAATGTGACTCGCAAAATCTAATAAACAAACATTAATTTCAAATACTAAGTTGAAAATTTTATTTACTATATTGAAAACACTATAAATTCTTCACAATGCTAATAAAAATTTAATTAATAAATTATTAAATTTTCATCAACATATTTCATTCATTAATAATTTTCCTAAATGTTTATGAGTGGAAAAAGTTTGAGCATAAAATATCTCAATTTTAAAATGCAAAACTTTTTAGAGGAAATAAAGTATTGGGTGTTGTAGTGTATATAAGGTTCCACCGCATTTTCTTATTTCGCGAGAAAATTACTCGGAAAATTTCTTCATTACGATGGTACTGTGTGGTGGTTACGTGACCTAGTTTTAATTAATTTGCTAACTTCGAAGTTCATCACTCAACAGAAGTTCATTTACCGTTTTAAACTACCAACTTGATAAACTTTTGATCAGTATTTAATCAGTGTTAATTATTAAATCCTCTAGTCTTTAATGAAAACTCTCTTCTCATTTTTAATATTCTTCATCCGTTAAAAAAAAAAAAAAATATCCGTCTAAAAAAAAAAATAAATATTTGATAAATAATATTTAATAAATTAATATTTAATAAATTTAATAATAAATAAAATTATTTAAATAAATAAATTTTGTTATTTTTTACATACTAACCATGTTGTATATTCATTTTATTCTTCAAATCGGGTAGAGTTTCATTAATTGCAATCAAATTCATCCTTGAGATGGTGGCCTTTTTTAAGGAGTTACTGATATTTTTTGCTTTACTCCAAGTTGAGAACGCATTTTGTCCTTTGTTGTCGTCGAATTTGAGACAAAATCTAAAATAATAAAAATGTTTTAGTGCCTTTTTGAAAATAATTTCAATTTTTAATTTTAGTTTCAATTTGGAAATTTGTGATAAGATCAAAAGAAAAGGAAGTAAGGAGGAAAAAATTGGTTTATGTTTATGACAGTTTTACCTTAATTAAATATTCGTTTTCAAGTTTCGTTTCTAAACTACTTAAATATTTTCTATCGAGTTAAATTTTAATTTATTTTTTTACATTACAACCAAAATGTGGAATAAGTAATCGATTTCTTCATGTTTTACAATAATTAAATATGCCAAAGTGATAAAATCATTATTTTATGTTACAAGAATATTTTTACTGTAAATTCTCGAAAATTATTTTTATCATTTCAATTCAATTATTATTCTCTAGAATTTTTAACTAAAATTCTTCTTTAAATCAATAATTTTTAATAATTTTTGCAAAAAGTTCCTTGAGAATTTTCAAATCCATATGTTTACAATTCAATTTTACGAAATTTTATCGATTATTCAGAAATTCTTTAATTAAACATATATTAGAAAAAAACTTGAAATAATTTTAAAAGAATTCAATTAAACTTCTTCAAAAAATTAATTCTACAGAATTGTTAGTAAAAAGTAAGAAAAATTAATATTTTTAAAGATTTTAATTTAAAATTTTTCCAAAATTCAATTATAATCTAAAATTTTAACTGAAATCCATTTTTAAATCAACGTTTATGAGAAAATTATACTGGAATTTAATTATTTAAATACAAAAATAAATAATTTATTGAATAATTGAATTCTTCTTAAAATTGAATTCTCATAAAGAACTTTATCAACAAATTTTTAAATAATTAAATTCTTTCAACGAATTTTAATAAAATTTTTAAGAATTATTACATTTTTCGAGGATTTCGATTAAAATTGTATTAAAAATAATTTAAATTCTGCAATGAGTTTTATTATTTATGGAAATAATTGAATTCCTAAAAAGAATTTTATTATTTATAAAAATAATCGAATTTCTAGGAAGAATTTTAATATTTATGAAAAAATTGAATAAATACTTATTATTTATCGTTCTAAAAAAATTTATTATTTATAAAAATAATTGAATTATTGCGAAGAAATTTATTAAAAATTTGTAAATAGTAGAATTCCAGTTAAATTTTTATTATTTTTTATGAAAATAATTGAATGTTTGCGTAGAATTTTATTAAAACTTTTTTTTTAAATAATTGAATTCTTCTGGAAAATTTCATTAAAATTTTTGGAAAATAAGTGAAATTCGGAAAAGAGTTTTATTATTTATAAAGATATTTAAGTTCATATAAAGAATTTTATTCTTTATGAAAATAATTGAATCCCTGTAAAAAATGTTATTATTTATGAAAATAATTAAATGTTTGCATAGAATTTGATTAAAAATTTTTTTAATAATTGAATTCTTTGAAAAATTTTATTAAAATGTTTGAAAATAATTGTATTTTGGAGAAGAATTTTAATATTTATGAAGTTAATTGAAATTTTGAGGAGAAGTTTTTTAAATTTTTGAACAGAATTGAATTTCTGCGAAGAATTTTATCGTACTTTCGAAAATAATTGAATTTCTGCAATCATTTGTAACTTTTCCAAAATTAAAATTTTTTTAGTGTTTTTATTAAAAATTCTTTTATAAGTCAATTATTTTTAATAGTTAATTAAATATGTATTGATAAATTTAACTAATTTCAGAAGAATATAAATAATCGAAATCAGATGTAAGTTAATATCATAATCGTCATATAATTTTATTGACTTTAATGAAAATAATTAACACTAACTTCAAGATGCCATCAGTGGGAATAAAGACCAATTTCAATCCAGAATTTGAATGATCAATCATCCTTGCAATGTCCTCCGACCACTTCCAGCCCTTAGAAAGGGACTCGACAATTCCATTAGCAGGCGATATCTCTCCCGTGGTGACCAACTTGGAGAACATGGTCAATGAACGCATTTCCAAGTTACAATTCTCCTGTCTTTTTTTCCACGATTCTACGTGCCAAGCATTTTCGTGAGAGGAATTAAACAAGTTCCCAAGGTAGGGTTTTAAAATTGGTCCTAAAGTTTTCCTATCATGCTCCATTCCTTTAACACAAAAAATAGAATTAGCTTTTTCAATATATTTTATTCCTTTATTTAATTTTAATTTCAATTTAGAATTTGGAAATAAATTTTTAGTTCTCATACCAAAATAGAGCCATTTTAAAAGTGTCTCAGCCATAATTTTATGATTATCAAGATCCATATAAGCAGTTTCTCGATCTCTTCTGACAGTTTCAACTAAAATGTCAACGGAACGTTCGAAATAAGCCGAGGCATTGTTCCTTTTTCGCTCCTTCAATAATCGACGTCTTGCACTTTTCTTTTTCCGGTGATCCATCACGACGTAAATCTGGTCTCTTGATTGTTTGAGAACTAAAGTCAAGAGATAGACTAAATTGTCTATTGGCTCGAAAGAATGTTGAGGTAGTGCAAGAAAGCTTAACAATGGCGAGTTGTCGAACGATTCCTAAAAGATAATTAATATTGTTAAAAAAAATTAATATTGTTTCATAAATCGAAATTGTTTAATAAATATAAAAATTGATTAATAAAAATTACGTTGGTGAAATTCACAACATTTTGTCATCAACCATCGAAAAAAAAATATTTTTCTTGACGTTAACAATAAAATTTTTTGACTACAAATTCTTCTTTTACAAATTATTGATCAAATCTATGCAAAATAATTTTTTTTATACAAATTTCATAAAAATTTGAATAAAAAAATATTTTTTTCTAAATACTTGATTTTAAAGGTTGTGAATTTCACTAAAGTTAAAAAAAATTGTTTGACAAAAATTAATTTTAATATTGTTTAAAAGTAGTAAAATTAACAAATATATAACAAAAAGACAAACCTGTAGAGTAGCGTTCTTAGCTTTTAGCACTTCTTGCACTACTAAACTTAAATATTCCAATTGATTCGGACTGTAACCACAATTTCCTCCAATATCTCCCTTGGGAATGGAATTCAAAACTTTTTGCCACCGAGAAATTAATTCAGTTTCCATTAAATCTGCTGCATCTGTTTCTTGAACCAACATATTTGCCGATTTCGTTTGCAAAATTGCCAAATACTCTTCAATAATTTTCGAATCTAATGCATAAATATCCTCATTATGAAGAATTCCACCTAGAAAAAGAAAAAAATCGATAAATCAGAAATATTTATTAATTTATTTAATAAATAATAAATAATAAGAAAATAAATTAAATAATGCATAAAATAAAAAAAATAATTCTCAAAATGAAAAATAAGGCATAAAGTAAAAAAAAATATTGGGTAAAATAAAAAAAGGCATAAAATAAAGAAAATAATGTAAATTCGTATTATTAAAAGAAATGAAACGAAATTATTGTTCGTCATGTAAGGTTATCTGAAACAATGTATTTTCTTGAAAAATGCTAACATTCTTTTTTTGCCCCTCTCTGAAATAAAGCTTGTCGATTTGTCCTTGAAGCTGAGCATTACATTTTCCAAGAAAAAGACCCTCATGCTCATGGCAAAAGAAAGTATATTTCCCTGTCTTCCGATGAATAAACGAATGTTCTGAATATTCGACATCTTTTTTTATGATTTTTACGTTATACATAAATTTTCTATTTTTATTAAAAATAAAAACAGAAAAAAGTAATTTTTTAAAAAATCGCTTTGAAATAATAATCGTATTTTTGAAGAATTTTATTTCGAAGAATTGTATTTTTTTTTTTTAAATTAAATTTCAAAAAGATAGTTTTTTTGTAACTAACAATAGACGTCTAGTTATGTTAGTTTTAAATAAATTCTCATCCCAACAATATGTAGATTCATTGAAAAAGTTTCAAAAATTTTTTTTTCAATTTTAAATCATAATTAACTTATTCTCCGCGCATCGTCTTCTATATAAGGTTGTATTTTCTTTGAAAAACTTTTGTTATACATAGTATAATAAATTTCAGTTTGATCTTTTCACTTATTGACATGCACCGCAAAAATAAAGAAGAAAGAGAAAAAAAAGTCTCATCCTTAAAGTTTCTTTCAATATTTTTGCATAAGAGGGTTCGAGAAATAAAATATATGCAACGTCCGGAAAATATTGTTGGCTAACCTTGTCTGGATCACCATAGTCTCCAAACTTAAAACTTTTAGTAGACTTCCATCTTCAATATATATTTTAAGGTTCTTAAAAAATTGTATATTGCTCTTATAAGTTTTATCTACCTAGCGTTATATTAAATCTCAGTTTTATATACTGAAATTTTAAGATTATTTTTATATAAAATAAATCGTCTTTTTAATATATCTTTTTTTTATCTCCTTTTCTGTGGGAAATTTTCTTTCAAAAAGTTTACTAATATAGGAAAATTACAAAGAAATCGTTTATCGTTCAAATAATATTTTTTAATTAACAACTTTCAAGTTATTAAATGAGTATCAGACTCAAATGGAACTTTTTCTCAGTTCACACTTAATTTAAATTTTTCCCTTGATATTCGCTTTCTTGAAACAAAATGATATTTTATTTAATAATTGTTTTCAAAAGTATTTTTTCTATCTCTCCGAAAGAAGTAAATTTAATTTTCTATTTCCACAATTACATTTATAGTTAAATAATAAAATTATAAACTATAATTATAAATTAACATAAATTACAACTTCAACTGAAATATTATTTTATCTATGTAATTCTCTGCTACATGTAGTTTTAGAGTGTAAAAATAAATTAATGGAATAATTGTCGTAACGTCTTCAAACATGCACAGTCACACATTTTCACATTTTCGTGCATCACCGCACGCCTAGGTTGCATGCTAGGTAGTTTTGTTTCCAATTAAGTGAAACACCGCAGTTGCAAAAAGATAAGTGTACACTGTAGCAGAGTCTATATACGATGGCAAATATCTGCGTGTGTTTGTAATTTAACTACTATTCGAAATATCTTACACATTCTGATTCCAATTTGCAAATGTCCGCCTCGCAAATGAATTTATTTACGAAAAACTTCAAAAAGCTAACAATCATTTTTCCCCTTTGGCTATGTACATGTCCTTCTCTTCTCCTCTGTAACTTTAATAATTGAAAATAAATTCCGTCATTAAAATCATATTTTTATCTATTATTCCATAAATTTACATCTCTCATTATTTTCCCTTCTCAAAATAATAACGGATTGTCACAAAAATTTAATTTTGTTTTTTCCCGACTTTTTCTGATTTACAGACAAAATTTTGACTTTTTTCCTGATTCTAAAGAATATTCTAAAAAATTACGCTCTAATGCTTCTAAAATTTAATTATAATCTAAAATTTGAACTGAAGCTCAATTACGAGAATTCAATTACTTATATAAAAAAAAATAATTTATTGATCGATTAAAATTGTATTAATAATAATTGAAATTCTGAGATGAATTTTATTTTTTATGAAAATAATTGAATTTCTGAACAGAATTTTATTATTTATGAAAATAATTAAATTCCTAAAAAGAATTTGAAATAGTTTTGAACAGAAACCTATTTTTTCAGAGCTATAAAAAAGTAGTAAAACTATTTATTATGAAATATTTACAGAATTTTCAATAAATTGTTACCGTTTGCACATTGTAGCATCACGTTGCATCGAGGATGGAAGTAACACCTTAAATTCTGACATTTGAGAGCTCTCGCCAATTCATCGAGACATAGGAGAACGTGTCGAGATAAAGTATCCGGTGCCCAGCTTCGCAAAGGGTCTGGACCAGCTCGTTCCAGTGACCACCAATGAATTGTTCTCACAATGTGACGACTTACGATTCTCAAAGTTTCCTGAAACAATATTTAGTTATTGATAATGTAAGAAATGTAAAATAGAGTATTGTCGTTTATTATATTGGCAATGATTTGGCGGTATATAATTTGGGATTTGGCGGGCAAAGATTGATAACGAAGGGGGGTGATTTTGTAAAATAGCGGGAAGTAATCAGTCGTAGAGTCGTCGTCGTTGTACCCGGTCTTGATCCATCCGTCCGTCCGTCTGTTAGTCTTTTATATGTAAAATGTGACTCGAGTTGAATAAACTGTTTTAATGTTTTAACGAAAGACGCTCGTCTCATAATTGTTTTTCCCAATTATGCCCGAAGGCCTATCCATTTATTTATAATCTTACAATAATAAATTATTATTTTAATTATTATTTATTTTAATTTCAATTATTATTTTAATTATTATTTATTAATCTAAGTAAATTTGTCAATCCGCATAAATTGAAATTTAATTATTTTGAAAAATTAAAAAATGTAATCCAAGAGTCAGATTATCCGAAACTTGTAAAAACCTTTTAGAAATTAGTTTAAAAATTCAACTTTGATAAAATTGCATAAATGGAAAATAATTAAGCAAATATGGAAAAATAATTAAATTTTCTTAAGATCTATATTATTTAAGTGAAAAAGTAAAACAATGTGATTTTAAAGTCGGTTATTACAGACAATTTGATTTTCACATACCGCAAGAATTCAAACTTCGCATAACGAAACTCAAGATATTCAATATTACGGATCGTCGAGGAAAATCCAATTGAGATTCAATTTACAAATTCTCACTTTCCTTCTTCGCGATATAGCAAAAAAAAAGCAGAAAAAAAGAAAAAAATGCATTAAAGATTCATAAAAGAATCTCCCTATGTTATTTACACAAGGTGTAAATTCTCTCCGTGAATAAAATACCATATAAGTCTGCGGGAAATCGTATATTATTGTTCATTTCTTTGTTGCTTTAATCACTCAAAACGAGTGAAATAGACGCGATGGAGAAAATCGGGGGCTGGGGGTGAGGGTGCAAAAGAGAAAAGTCTTAAATTATTACAACTTTTCTCATTATGCATTCCAGACTCTCCTCCACTCTCGACTGCAACAATTCCCTACAACTTCCGCATAAAATGTAAATGTGAATTAAATTGTGTGCAAACTTCTTTCACGCGAATAATTTCACTTAAGGACAGTTTAATAATTGTATGTATTAAAAAAAAATTTTTTTTCTCCTATTCTTTAATTTTTATAATATTCAACTAATGAATACTTTAAAGATGAAAAGGCTCCTTTAAAAATTTCCCAACCAGAAAATATATATATATATATATATACATATAAATGAAATAAAAGTCGGAGAAAAGAGTAACGAAAAAGAAAATTCTCAAAGGATACATCATGAAATGTATATATATACATGTGATCTGAATAAATGATGAAGAAACATCAAAGGGTACATGAAAAAGGTTTGAAGAAGAAAACTATAATTCTGAAAAATATTTCAAATCATTTTTGAGATTTTCTTAAAATAATGTATAGTGAATTTGAGAAGATTTTTCGTTCTATGCGTTCTATGCAAAGTATGAGAACAATAAAGATTCGAAACGAAACCTTTTCTATAAATTCAAAATTTAGGGAAAAATAATATCAGGGTTGCCACAAATATTTAATTTTATTTTTTCCTGACTTTTGCTTGATTTCCAGACTTTTTCCTGACTGATTTTGCCTTTTCTCCTGACCCTAAAGAATATTCTGATTCACTCTAAAAATTATTAGATATTAAAAAAAAATATTCTTAATACATTTATTTCCGAATTTCTTTAATTGTAAAATTATTCTAAAACATCAATAACTTCTTTTCTAAATAAATATTTAATCATTATTATTTTTCCGTAGGAATTAAAATTCTTCAAAACATTCAAATTCAAACCTTTTTGAAATTCAACAACTTATTAAGAATATTATTACAAAACATGAAGAAGACGATCACTTCGAGTCGAAGACTCGAATCGCCTTCTTCATGTTTTGTAATAATTTAAATTACCATAAAATTTTCCAAAAAAAAGTTAATTATTTATATAAATCCTAATAAGATCCTTCGCAAGAATTCAATTATTTTTACAAGTAGTAAAATTTCTCAAAAAAATTCAATTATTTAAAAAAAAGTAATAAAATTCATTGCAAAAATTTATTTCATATTTATTTATTTTCATAAATAATAAAATTCTTTACAGGAATTTAATTATTAAAAAAAAACGTTATTAAAATTCGTTGCAAAAATTCAATTTTTCTCCTAAATAATAAAATTCTTCAGAGGATTTCAATTATCATTTATTTTTAATAAATTTTGCAAAACAAATGAGAATTTGAGAATTTTTAAATCTATTTGTTAACAATTCAATTTCATGAAATTTCGATTATTCGGAAATTCTCTAATTAAATATATTTTAAAAAATAAAAATTTTCAAAATTCAATTTAAAATAATTTAATTCTTCAAACGAATTTTATTCAAGTTTATAAAAATAACTGAATTTCTGTGAAGAATTTTATTCAAGTTTATAAAAATAATTGAAATTCGGTGAAGAATTTTATTATAATTATAAAAATTTTGTAAATAATTGAATTTCGGAGAAGAATTTTATTATTTATAAAGATAATTGAAATTTTGACGAGAATTTTTACAAATTTTTAAACATAATTGAATTTCTGCGAAGAATTTTTATAACTTTTGAAAATAATTGAATTTCTGGAATCATTTGTAACTTTTCCAAAATTTAATTTTTTTTATTATTTTGAATCGAAGTTTGCCATGAATTTTATTAAAATTTGTGAATATAATTGAATTTTATTACTTTTGAAAATAATAATTTAATTCTTGTGATGAATACTATTATTTATCAAAATAATTGAATTTTGCAATGAAGTTACTAAAATTCCTAAAAATGATTGGATTTTGACAAAGAAATTTTGATATTTATTTATAAAGAAAGTTGAAATGTTGACAATTTTTTTTAGATTTTTTGAAAATAATTAAACATTTGATATATATTAAATTAATTTTGAAAATAATTGAATTCTTCTGATGAATATTGTTATTTATAAAAATAATTGAATTTTGCAATGAATTTTATTAAAATTCCTGAATATAATTGAATTTCGGCCCAGATTTTTGCTATTTATAAAGATAATTAAAATGTTGACGAGGATTTTTTTTTTAATTTTTAAAAATAATTGAATTTCTGAAAAGAATTTTGATATTTATTAAGATATAGTTGAATTCTTTCAAAAAATTGCGTTCAAATTTTTAAAATTGAATCTAATTTCAACAGAATTGAAATTCAAATTTTTCAACAACAAAAAATACTTCATTAAATGATTTAAAAGTAATAACTTTATGGCTTTTCTTTAATAGAATTAAGTTATTTCAAAAGAAATTATTGTCAGAAATAGAAAAAATTGAAGGTTTTGTATTAAAATTCGTGGTAATTTCATAGTTTACGAGGCAAACAAAAAAGAAATCAAAATTCAGAGTTTTCTCATGAATTTTAAAAATTCAATTTTTTCCAGTACTTTTACTAAAAATCCCTGACTTTTCCCTGATTTCCCTGACTAATTTTCACGGTGGCCGGGAATATGAAAATATAATTTAATAAGTTATTAGGATATTTCATACTTTTCGTTTCATGTGAAAATCCAGTGGCTTTCTACCTTGAAGTTGATCGAGTATTTCTTGAAGAATTGAATCAGTTAAGGAAACGATACTTTCATCAGAATAGTGTTGTGACATTATTTTTTCCGCAGCTGGAAAGCGAATTCTCCACAAGGTCGCTCGGTCTTCACATCGTGCTCCCTGATAAGGACCGACACATGTGGCAAACATTCCCTGAAAAAAAAACAAAAAACGCAAATTAATTTTAAATAAATAACGAAAAGTATCATTAAGACTAAAAACAAGTACTAAAAACGTAGTTATCGAAAAAATTATTCTAAAGTTCTCAAATTTATTTATTTCTTCTTTAAATTAAATATTTATTACCCTAATTTTGTGTAATTTTGTAATTTGTAATTTTGTGTAAGTAAAAAATTGAACCTTTACAAATAATTAAAAATGAATCTTCAATTATATAAAATTATTCCCATAAACTATATTTTTTCTTAAAAAAATTAATCCCTCACATGAATTATCTGCTGAGTGAAAAATTTTCAATCAAGTTTATATTATTTAGAGCATGAAGGATAAAAGTACATCCTTTGATGCTTTCGAGTTCCAAATTCACCAGCCACAAGCTGGCTAACCACTGAATTAACAGTCGACAAGCATCCTCTTCCTCTAATTATCCATTTACTTTTACAAGAAAAAATATTTCCTTTCTCCAATAATTATACCCATTTGAATAATTATTATTATAACAATAATTTTTTTTTTAAATTTCCCTTTAAAAGAATAATACCTAATTCATCGACTAATTTAGTTTTTTTTTTTGTTTAATTTTTCCAAATGAACTTACAGTTTGCGCAGCAGTGTAGTGAAGCAGCGCATCACAGTGGTGAAGCGGTACTCGTCGAGGATAATCAGCCGTGGTTGACCACGTTTGAACCGCAACACCGATCAACAGTCTCACTTCGACATCCTGGGATTTGGTGCCTTCAAGTCCTATTCTCAACAGTATTCCACTCGCATCCTCCACTATTGCAACTCGATTTTCACGTGATTCGGGATAATTAGTTTCCGCGGTCGCTGAAGAAAGAAAGGAAATCATTAGGCACTAAATTATGTTATTTTTGGTCTTCTACTTGAGAAATTTAATTATAATTCTTATTTTTATATGGCTACACGAATTTTTAGTTTGGTGAAATATATAATTATAAATATAATACCTATTATTTTTGAAATTTAAAATAAATGATTCAATTTGCAAAATTGAGTATACTTCAGGGAGAGGTAATTTTATTACGTCACTTATATTACCACTATTCGAAACTAATAATTGGCGCACTAATTATAATTAAATCACACCTTGGCGTACTCAAAGCTGAAATCACGAGTTTCTTGACGAGACATTTTAGAACCACAAAGTGTTAGCATAATACACGTCATGCAGAGCGGTTTAATTAAATTGTTTTCCTCGCAATTAAGGAAAACAAGAGAGAAAACGCGTGGGGGAGTAAACGTAACAGCTGTATCACTTTCAAGATTGTTTTTCAATTCAGTCGTTTCGTTTTGCACTTTTCTTAATATTCTCAATCTAAAAGTAACTGATTTTATAATTCTTACTTGGTGCGTAAAATATTCTGCAGTGATCCGGTTGCTTTAGAATTTTGTCCAGAACTTCTGCATCGACTATTTGACCAGGAAATAAATTTGACCTCTCGTCGCCGTCGATATTTTCAACTCCACTTGCAACTGAATTTCGTTTTCTTTTAAATAAAGTCATTAATTTACATGTTTTTTTGTTTCTTTTCAATTTACAGGCTTCACACTCGAGAATTAGTTTTTAAAAAAGTAATAGAAAGTAGCTTTAAGACATGAAAAAGTAGTAAAAAGTAGCCATCGAAAAATTCAATTTAACGAACAAAAAAATTCAGTTTTAAATCGACTTACAAAAATTTTATTCAGTGTTTCCCTGACTTTTTCTTTATTTTCATAAAAAATATTGCAAAAATAATTGAATTCTTGCAAATGATTTCATTAACATTTTTTAAATAATTGAATTCCTGAGAAATAATTTAATAATAATTGAATAATAATAATTCTAATAATAATTGAATTCCTCCAAACGAATTTTATTAAAATTTTTGAGAATAATTGAATTTTTTTTTTAATTTTCAATTTTTTAAATTTTCAAAATAATTAAATTCATCTGAGGAAAACAATTATACTTGTATTGAAAATAGATAAATTCTTATAAACAAATTTTAGCAAAATTATTAAAAATGATTGATTTTTTTTTTTGAGAATTAAATAAAAATTTTTTTGTTTATTATTATTCAAAAATTTAAATAAAATTTGTCCCAAGAATTTCATTATTCTCATAAATAATAAAATTCTTTAGAGAAATTCAATTATTTTCACTACAATTTTAATAAAATTTCTCAAAAGAGTACACAACTATTTTTAAAAATATTAATTAAATTCGATTTATTTCAAGAATTCTAATATGAATTCAATTATTTTCAACAATTTAGATGAAATTCTTTTTAAAAAAATCATTATTTTCAAATTTTTTAATAAAACTCCTTCAAAGAATTCAACTATTTTAAAAAATTCAGATAAAATCCTTCGAAATAATTCAATTATTCTTATGAATTGTAAAATCCTCCGCTAGAATTTAATTATTTTCATTGCAAGAAAAAAAAAAAAAAAAAATTCATTGCAAGAAATAAATTAATATTTTCATAAATAAGAAAATTCTACAAAGGAATTCAATTATTTTCAATACAATTTTAATAAAATTTCTCGAAAGAATACAATTATTTTTAAAAATATTATTTAAATTCAATTATTTTCTTCAACAATTCTGATAAAAAATTCTTCGAAACAATAAAATTATTTTAAAGAATTTTAACAAAAATCTTGCCAAGAATGAAATTATTTTCAATATAATTTTAATTACATTTTATTGAAAGAATTCAATTATTAAAAAAAATGTTGATAAAATTCTTGAAATAATATCAGTTATTTTCAATTTTTTTTATAAATACTTTACAAGAATTCAATGATTTTCAGTACATTGACAATTTAATTATTTCTGAAAATAATTGAATTCTTGAATAGAATTTTATTAAAACTTTTTTAAATAATTGAATCCCTGCAAAAAAATTTATTATTTCTACAAATAAATTTAATTTCTGCAAAATTTAAAAAAATAAATGAATTTTTAAGAAGAATTTTATTAAAATTGTATTTAAAATAATTGAATTCCTGTGAAAAATTTACTATTTATTATGATATTATTGAATTCTTTCGGAGGATTTAAAAAAATGTGTTTAAAAATAATTTAATTTTCCCTGGAATTCAATTAAAATTTTTTTTTTAAATAATTGAATTCCAGCGAAGATTTCATTATATATTTTTAAAAATAATTGAATGTTTGAATTGGATTGTAAATAAAGTTTTTTAAATCATTAAACTCTTGGGAGAAATTCAATTATTGTTTAAAATAATTGAATTTTCTCGAGGAATTTTTGCAAGATTTTTAAAAATAATTGAAATTTTCGAAGAAATTAATTAAAATTGTATTCAAAGTAAGTAAAATCCTGATAAGAATTTTATTATTTATATAAAAATAATTGAATTTTTTACGAAGATTTTTATTATTGTTGTTGGTAAAAATTTTCTTAAAATTTAAAAAAAATTTTTTTTATTATTATTATCGAATTTAAAGTTTAAAGTCAAAGAAAAAAGAAAAAAGTAGTTTTTAGTGTTACAAATGAAAAAAAGTGTCTAAATAGTAACAAATGGTATAAGAAAATATTAAATAGTAGGTTTTAGTAGAAGAGTGCGAAGCCTGAATTTACCTTGTCTTGTTGAAATTGCCAAAAGACTGGCCACTTTTGATTTGATGAGGTCACGACGAATTCTTCCTCCTGATCCTAAAAATTCAGCCCACTGTTCAGCCACAGGAGCTCGAATTTTTAGACGAATAAAACCTGGCATACTGGCATCTTCTTCCACATTTACAGACGGTTCCTCGTCACTATTTATGACTGGTGTTGACAAAGCGTCAATTCTCAACAAGTACTCGAATTTCAATTGCTATATTTCCAAACAGAAAATGTTTATTTTAATAAAAACTGAAAACAAATCCTAAAGATTTGGTTGTAAATAAAAATCATCTTAATGTTCCCACCGGTATTTTTGGTACAATAGGTACAAATTAGCTAATAGTTTAACTATTATCTAATTTGTATGAAAAATACATACCTGAAAGGCTGATTAGATAATTCGACACCTATTATACAATTTACGTCTGAAATTTTCCATTTAAATTTTCCTTTCTAATTTTTCTTTATTAATAATAATGATAAATAATGAAATAATTAATAATAATGATTTTAATAATTCATTTTTCTTATTTATTAATTACTTTTATTGAACCAAATTAATATTAATTATTAATTCTTTTTTGAAAATCTTTTTCTTTAATAATTGAATGAAATTACGTGTTACAAGACAAAAATGATTTTAATTGTTTTTAAAATAATTTGTAACATTTATCTGCTAATCTTCCTTTTCATATTCAATTGAAAATTCGTGGAACCGTGTATCTTCATTATATAAAGAAAAGTATATGCTATAGCATGGCAGTTAATTAAATTTAAGCTCTAGAGATAAATTGGACATCCCATACCCTTTTATTTACTTTTTTCTTTTCTTTTTTTTAATTTATCTTACCTTAATCCTACGACGTTCATTGAGCGAAACGAGGAACAACGATGAGAATCTGCGGTCGAGATTACATACTCTCGCTACCAAACGTTGCACTAATCTTTCCACGGTTGATTCAATGGCAATAATATCCACAGAAGCTGTAAAAATTCATTTTTATTTTTCATTTCCGCATGGATTCAACATTTTTTCAAAAACTATTGGAGTAGAATTGGAAAAGAAAATTAAATTTTCATTTTTCAAAATAGCGTGATGAAATATTAAATAAATATATTAAATATTAATATGATACAAATAAATAAATAATAAAAAAAAATAATTATAGCTAAATAAAAATTATTTTTCGAGGCGAAATATTTAGGCCTCGGATCGACTTTAAAACCCAAAAAAAACTCGTCTTATTCGATTAAAAATAGAAAAAAATCGTTTATTTAATTTAATGTTGTCACAAAAATTTTATTTTATATTTTCCTGACCTTTCACTTATTTCTAAATTCAATTATTCAAAACTTGAATAATTTTGTTAGATAAATAAGATTTAAATACTTATTTCTTTTTACACTGGAAATAAAATTTTAAAAAATTCATTTTAAAACCTTCCAAAATTTAATAATTTCTAAAAATTACAACTTTAATTCTTTCAGTTAAATTTTATTATTTTCTACAATTCGTAACTAAATTTCAACTCTAAATAAAAAAAAATTAATAATTTTGCGAAAGTTTTTCCAAAATTCAATTATTTAAATACAAAACTTTAATTTCTTAAAACTAAACTGAGTCCGTATTTATTTTAAAGTTATTACTTAATATTTTCAAAAAGTTATTAAAATTAATTTTTTTTTAAATATTATAAAATAATTTTTGAAAGATTAGTTTTTTAATTATTTATATCTGAAAAATTTCTAAACAAGTAATTGATATTTGGTAAAATCTTTTAAAAATCATTTAAAAAGTAATTGAATATTTGAAAAATATAAAAAAATAAATAAATTTTTGAAAAATTTTAATTATAAATGTGACCATAATTTCTCCCAAATCTTAATAAAAGTCTAAAGTCAATTTTTAATAATTTTAATTTACATTCTTCGAAGATACAAATTGAATCTTAAAAAATTATGGTAAAAAAATTGGAAGGATTAGTTTTTTAAAAATCAATATTGTTATTCAATAATGTTATTTTTCGAAAATAATTCAATTTCTTAAAAGAATTTTTTTTATAATTTAAAGTGCTAATTAATTTTTTTGAAGAATTTTAATTAACAATTTTAAAAATTATTGTTTTCTCCAAAATGTTAAAAATAATAAATTCTAAACAATTTTAATGTTAGATATTATTTTTGTACGTATGTATTTGAATTTTCGGAAATATGTTATTAAAAATATTGAAAGTAATTGAGTTTTAAAAAATTAGAATGAAAAAATTCTAAGAAATTACACAGTATTTCAAAATTATTTTGATATCATTTTTAGAAGCTAATTTTCATTAATTTTCGTTTTTAAATTTTCACTTCAAGATTTTTTTATTAAAATTTTTGAGAATTTTATTTTATTTTCAAAATTTCCAATTAAAATTCTTTAAAAGTTGATTTTCAAAAATTGTAATAAAATACTTGAAAAAAACAATTATTTTAAATTAAATTTTACGAAATTTTAATTATTCAAAAACTTTTCATTAGAAGTATATTTTAAACTTTTAATTATCTTGAAAACATTATTCATTAAATAATACTTGAACGATTTGTCTACAGTTATTTTTCACACCATAAAAATCGAAATAAGTTGAATTTTTATACTAAAAATGTGGTATTTTGTTGCAGTATTTGAAAAAAAATCGAAAAAGTCGCATTTTTTGAAAATATTCGAAAAAAGTGATAATATCCGAAGCCAGAATATTAAATTATCAAAAAATACTTGAGAAATAAATCAAACTGTTAGTAATAAATAAAAAAAATCAACATATATTATACTTATCAAACATACTTTCCACATTTTCAACAGTTTTCCTGAAAATTGTATTCAAATTATCTAATTGATCTTTTGTAAAAATTTGTTTTGAAGTCATCAAATAGAGACTTCCGGATTTATAATTCGTTCCACTTGGTGCACAGCCCATGTTGTATTATGAAGAAACACGGAGCTAGAGTAGAACAATAAAAATATTGTTCTATTTTCGATAGGACTCTGCTAGAAAAAAAGGAAAAAATTATAATATAATAACAAATAAAAATAATAATAATAATAATAATAATAATAATAATCATTAATAGTCACTACAATTGAATACAATAGAACTATTTTAATAATAATAGTTTTAATAATTTTTTTAGTTAATTTAGTTTTTAATTAATTTTAATTTTCTTTAATAATAAAAAATAGTTCTTTCATCAGACACAAAAGAACTCCTAAATATATTATGATATAATAAATAAAATCTGTTTTAACAATATCATTGAAATGAAATAGCAAAATACCATTATTGGAAAAGTAGACGAATTCTCTTTATCGAGTTGGTTATTATCGTGGTTTGTTGAATTTATATCTATTGGCTCGATGCCATTCTCGCAACAATCAAACCTAACGCGACTAATTGATCGAATATTTCCACACGATCGAACAAGCAAAATTTAGCCAAACCTCATCATCTTCGCGATAATATAGGTTTCCATGGTAATTTCAATAATTAAATTTCTTATGCACAAATAACTTTATTCTTCATTAGATATACCTATATCGTTTTAAAAGAAAATTTCTCATTTTCATAAAATGACCTAATTCATTGACACATTCATTAGCGTATTTCGCGTATTTATAAATTCTATTTTCAGTAATCACTAATTTCCATATAGCAACCGGATATATTCATCACTAAGAATTTGTATAAATTTTAGATATATTTACGTGAAAATGATAAAAACAGATAAAAATAACAATACGTGCAATTCGTGCAATTGCATGCAATTGTGACTATAGAAAACATAAAAATTATAGGTTATGTTTAATTGTTTATATTGAGTTTTCCGAGTTTTAGGGCCTGTCCATAAACTATAGTTACGTACATTAGCGCCATTTTTTCGCCAATCGGGGCAAATATTTTGAAACCCCCTTTAGCCTCAAAGTGCCTGCGTAGTGTGGACGAACCTTTAGACCATTACCCGCGCCATTTTACCGTCTTTTTCGGTTAAAAACATAACCTATAATTTTTTTTCTCCTTAATTGACGGTTGACAGCTTGACAATTGTTATTGTTTTTTTCTTCAGAGTCTTTCAAAGTGCACGCCAATAATAATAATGAAAATTTAACTATAAAAACTTACTATTTCATGAGTACAATTTCACTGATTCTTTAGAGATAATAAATCACAATGAACTTGAAGAAAGTGAAACCACAAGAAGCTGCGGAGGAAATTTCAGTAAATCAGCTGAGGAATTTTCGTGGAATGGGCTTTGGATGCGAACTAGAGGAAATTCCGAAACATATGTCTCTGTCACGAGAGTGTAAAACAACCCTGCTCATCCTCTTAGCGCATTATCTTCAAGAAAAAAGAGCACTCATCTAGCATTGAAAAGTAAGTAAGCAAGAAATCTTTCTTTAAAGATACGTCTGAAATAAAATTAGAATCCTAAATTAAAGTAAATAAATGTCTCCCGAAAATAAGCAATTTGCATACAAAAATTTTATTTCTTCCAAGTTAAAATTTTTTGCAATTATTGGTGATTTTATAAAATCTACAGGGTTGCCACGCATTTGCTAAATTCAAATTTTCTGACTTTTCCAGGTTTTCAAAACTATTTATATTTCAAAAAATTAAATAATTAGTCATTATTATTTTTCCATATAGGAATTAAAGATCTTCAAAAGATTCTAATTCAAACCTTTTTGAAATTAAACTTCGACTCGGAGCAATCGATATCTTCATATTTTATAAATAAAATAAAAAATAAATTAAAAATGACCGACTGATGAAATCATTATTTTATATTATAAGAATATTGCTACTGTAACTTATTCAAAATTACCTTCAACACTTAAATTCAATTATTGTTTTCCAGAATTTTTAACTAAAATTATTCTTTAAATTTATTATTTTTAAAAATTTTTGAAAAATTTCTTTGAGAATTTTCAAATTTATTTGTTTACAATTCAATTTTAGGATAGGTAAATAGTAGAATTCCTGTGAAATGTTTTATTATTTAATTAATTCATTGAAAATTGAAATTTTACAAAATTTCAAATTACAACCTTTTGAGAAGTTTATCTATTTATGAAAATTGTAAACGGAACTCTTTAGATAAAATTAATTTTGAAATATTTAAGTGAAATTAGATTTCAAAAATAAGCACAATTAGTAAACAATAATTTTCCAGGATTCCGATCAAAATTCCCTGCCTTTTCCAGGTTTTTTCAAGGTTTTTAAAATTCCCTGATATTTCCAGGTTTTCCAGGATGCGTGGCAACCCTGAATTCTAATAGAGGAGCAAATGGAGAAAATGCGGATTGTAAATTTATTTCAGAAAATCAACACTGCACATTAATAAAACTTCTTTTTCCAAAAATAAGATTTTTCGAAAATTGAGAAACAATTTCCCGATTATATATTTACTGCACTTGTATAAATTCGTAACACTAAATTAAAAAGCACTCTATAAATACAATCACTTTTGAGCTTGTCACTTACTCGAAATTTCATAAATTCATAAATGAAATAAATTTTTGGTATTAGAGAAAGCTTTTAAAAAAGTTTTTTTAGAGGAGAGCACTTAAAAAATATGTGCTATTTAATCCTCTTTATTAACCCATCGTAAATGTTATATGAAGAGAGAGAAAACGAGAGAGATAGAGAGAGTTGGGAGCTCTCGTTGACAGAAACACGGCGGGAACTGAATCAAGTTTATTTTATGAAGCAAAGGCTAAAGTCATAGTTTTTCCAAGTATATAGAGAGCAGAAAAATTACTGACATTCCAATAATTGTTAAAGTGTAAAATTCGTCGATGACAATATTATCTCAGCTACTCTTAGTCGTTTTCTAACAATGGATCCAGGCTTCCCGACCACCGAACCGGAATCACTTCCGATTTCGATTGTTTTGAGTTGACTTCCGGTCATGTGGGTGTGCCTCTGACACACAGGTTCGAAACCCATTGCATCACATGCAGTTAGAGAAGCGTAAAGTTGATTTGTGTCAACAACAATTTTCATTTTCTAAAGTAAACGTTATTTGAATGTATTGAAAGAAATTTCCATCTTCATTCTTTTTTAATCTTTGGTTTTATTATTTCAATTAGATAAATTGTCTCGTAAATTATCATTTTCTCGTGATTAGAAAATTACATATATTGTAATTTATATTCAAAATTATATTATGAATGATATTATGAACTACATTATAAATTATATGTGGCGCAAGTCACTTTTTCCCTTCACCGGAAAGTTTCAAATATGTTTATGATTGGTCAGGAAAATCAGAAAAAATTCAATTATTTTTAGGAATTTTAATAAAAATCTTTGCAAAATTCAATTATTTTCATAAATCAAAATCACAATATTTTTCACAAGAATTCAATTTTTTTCAAAAGTAATAAAATTCTTCGAAATAATTCAATTATTTTTAACAATTTTCATAATTTTTTTCGCAAGAATTCAATTATTTTTAGGAATTTTAATAAAAATCTGTGCAAAATTCAATTATTTTCATAAATAACAATATTCATCACAAGAATTCAATTATTTTCAAAAGTAATAAAATTCTTAGAAGTAATTCAATTATTTTTAAAAATTTTAATAAAAATCTGGTCAAGAATTCAATTTTCTTCATAATTAGCAAAATTTTTCACCGAAAATTCAATTATTTCCCGCAAAGTTTTTAGCAATTTAATGATTTTCAATATTCTACTATTTTAATAAAGTTTCCCAAAAGAATTCAATTATTAAACAAAACTTTTGATAAAATTCTACACGAACATTCAATTATTTTCCAAAAAAGTAAATATTTCACATGAATTCAATTATTTAAAATAGAAATTTGCATAAATGTTTTTCGAAAAATTGAATGTTTTAAAATTTGTCATTAAATTCTTCGCAGTAATTTAAAATTCAAATATTTTCAAAAGTAATAAAATTCAATTATTTTCAAAAATTTTAATAAAATTCATGGCGAAATTTCAATTACTTTCAAAAATTTTTCTTAAATTAATAATTTGTATATCTTCAATTATTCAATTATTATTTTCATAAATAATAAAATTTCGTTTATAAATTCAATTATTTTTATCGCAGAATTTCAAATATTTTTAATACAATTTTAAATAAATTCCTCGAAAAGTCCAATTTTTCTTAAAAATTTTATTAAAAGTTGACGAAAGAATTCAATTTTAAGAAATATTCAATTATTCAATGAGATAATAAAATTCGTTCCAATAATTCAATTATTTTCATAAATAACTTTTAATTCGTCGGAGGAAATCAATTATTTTCAAAATTTTTTAAGTAATTCTGCAAAAGAAATCAATTATCTTGATAAACAACAAAATTCTTTCCATATAATTTATTATTTTAAGGAATTTTAATAAAATTCTTTTCCAAAATTCAATTATTTTGATAAATATCAAAATTCATTACAAGATTTCAATTCTTTTGAAAAATAAGAAAATAATTGTTATAAAACTCTTTAATATAATAAATTTCAGTAAAATTTTAATAAAATTCTTTCCAAGAATTCAATTCTTTTCGAAAACAAACATTTTCAAAAAAAATTTTTTTCTCAATTCTTCGTCAGATTTCAATTATTTTTAATTCTTTTATGAAATTTCTGGATAGAATTTAATTATTTTCAAGACGTTTTAAAAAATTCTAAGAAATTCAATTATTTTCAAAATTTTTTAAGTAATTCTGCAAAAGAAATCAATTATCTTGATAAACAACAAAATTCTTCCCATAAAATTTATTATTTTAAGGAAGTTTAATAAAATTCTTTTTTAAAATTCAATTATTTTGATAAATATCCAAAATTCATTACAGGATTTTAATTCTCTTGAAAAATAATAAAATAATTGTTATAAAACTGTTTAACATAATTAATTTCAATAAAATTTTAATAAAATTCTTCCCAAAAATTCAATTCTTTTCAAAAACAAACATTTTCAAAGCAATTCCATTATTTAAAAACATTTTTTTTTAATTCTTCATCAGATGTCAATTATTTTCAATTTTTTAATGAAATTTCTCGATGTAAGTTAATTATTTTCATCAAATTTTTAAAAATTCTGAGAAATTCAATTATTTTCGAAAATTTGAATAAAATTCTTCACAAGAAATTAATTAGTTTCATAAATAATATTTTTCTCCAGAATTCAATTATTTTCACAAATAAATTTTTTCATAGGAATTCAATTCTTTAAAAAAGTTTTCAATAAAATTTGTTACAAGAATTCAATTATTTTCACAAATAAATTTTTTCATAGGAATTCAATTCTTTAAAAAAGTTTTTAATAAAATTTGTTACAAGAATTCAATTATTTTCTCATCTTAAATTTATTATAAAATATCATTCCGAGTCGAAGACTCGGAGTGATCGATATCTTCATGTTTTATAATAATATTCTTATGTTATTGAATTTGAAATTTCTGAAAAACTTAATTCCTATGGAAAAATTAAAAATATTTAAATAATATTATAAATAATACCATAAATTATATTATAATCCATAAATAATAATATAAATTACATTATAAATTATACTTAAATTAATTGTCTCATAACAGTGAGAGGGAATATTTTTTTCTGCATAACTTTATATACAGCATTTACATTTATAATACAACTTTTTTAAAATGGTGAATTCTTCACAATGAAACTCTTTACCTTATAAATGAAAAATCATGTTATTTTCTCTCAACTTCCTCCTTTCATTTCCGTTTTTCATTTCCTTTGGATTTTTTTTTCATCCCCTTTCGTGAGAAGGTGAGAAGATACACATCACTTCAACGTGGTGATGAAATTGTAAAATATGAAAAGTTTTTATATTTACATTTCAAATAATTCTCCGCACATATATGCGCACAGTTAATTCGCAGAAATGCAGAAAAAAAAGAAGAAAATATATTCGGGAAACAATTAATGTTTGTTGACCATCATTATTCACACGTGTTATTATTTTTTTTTTTTTTGGAAAAACAAATAATTTTCCTAGACACAAAGTTCTCGGACATGACTGACATAAATGAATTTTCCGACAGCGGTGATGTAGTGTAGCTAGAAATAGTGATATATGAAACTATATACCAGCTTGCAATTCATTCTCGCTGAGTTAAATTGAATTTGTACTTCTATTATTATTCGTTCTGATTCAAAACAAAAAATAAGGGGAGTTTGTAATTTTCTTTTTGTCTAGAGAAAGTAAATTATTGAAGTCAATCAATTTTTTAATTGATTTTTATTTAGAATATGTT